AAAATGGCTATCTTATGATAATTTAAGTAATAATACCTGATCAAAATATTGGAAAAATTTCCTTAGTTCGTAAGCATTTCCTGCTGATTGAGATAGTGAATATGCTCGTTTATATAAAAATGTGAGCAAACGGTGCTTCAGACAATTTATTGTCTCTTCCCTGAAAGGTCGAGGAACTCCCATATATGGAGATCTGCTCTCCGTCACTGAGGAGAGGAGAAAGTCATCATCGTCATGACAAAATCTGTCAAATACAGAGGTTTATTGAGTACAGTAAGTAAAAATTTCGGATGAGTTCATGACATGAATTCACATTTGATACTAACCTCCCAATGGAGCGTACATTTGTGAACACACCATCATCAGTGATTCTAAAAATATGAATGGTTTGCTGCTGTACTGACAGCACAGCTAACGTATCACGGTACAAATACAGGCCTTGATTGTGAGAAAGAAATATCTTATCAACCTTAAAATGTTTTGTATCACATAATCGACCAGCCTGTATCATAAGTCAAAAGAATAATTAACGGCGCATTGTATTGAATGGTCATAGGTAATGTTGTACAAAGGTATTTATGGGCGACAGTACAATACCTGTAAGTCAACTAAGTGCAAGGAGTAGTCTTCAAGAGGTATTCTGGGATTAGGTGAAACAGCTTCATTATTGGTGTAAACCTCATAGAAGGAGGGTCGCTGTTCTTCTGGTAGGTAAGCAGCTGAGCCAACAATAATAAAGCGTCCATCATCGGTGAACAGACTGCACTCTCGGTTTAACTGCTCTCCTCCTTGTGCTACACTGACAGTCCATTTAAGCCTAAAAAACCGATCGAATGCCCGACTCCTGATGTAGTCACTCTTCTCGTCATTCTTATTTCCAACATATTCTCCTTTGCAATGATGTATAAGATCAGCAACAGCTGCAGCACCCCGATAATCATAAATTTCTAGTGAGGTTTGATCAGAGGAAAATGCAACGAAGTGTTTACCATCCGGACTAAACTTCCGAAGAAAACATGGTGGTTTTTCAACATTGACGATTGTGAAATTAGGATGTACATTCTGATAAAATTCCCTTACAACATGAAAATGAGTGCCGGGCTTGCCATAACCATAAGTTTCTCGTCTTATTAGTCTGTTGACAATGTTCTGAGGTGGTATTTTTCTTAATGGTATTCCAGAATTACATCCAATGGAGTCTGATCTGCTCATGATTTCTTTCAGTCTATTACAAATCAAAAATTAAACTGAGACAAAGTATAAAATCCTAAATAAACATATTCCCGACTCTCTCCTTCACCTTTTAACGGGAGGTTAGGTTAGGGCCCCCCAACAGGTGCAGTTTACGAAACTGTATAACACTCAAACTCGATTCCAGTATGACATGCATCAGAGTAAACAATTTTGAGCTAGGAAGAGAAGCATTTATAGTGAGAACGAGAATATTTGGTAAGCGATTTAAGGAGGGGGAAACACACCTCTTGTAAAAATTTACTTACCCTGTGTTCTGCTGTGTTGGTCTAACCGCATCATGCAGCTGAACCCAAATTTCTCATTAACACGCAGGAAAGGCGCGTATATATGAGAAGTCTGGAACGCCTTTTCGGCCTTTTCACAAGCGTCCCTAGTGAAGGAAAATTGAAGAAAAAACCGTGAGTAAATAATGAATGCACAGCAAATGGTTTATTGCAATCAAAATGATTCTGTAGTGGACATTTAACATTAAAACATTCCAAGACATAGAATAGTTTATTTTGACTGAAAGTGCTGCTGCACCTCAATAATGGCACTACTTTATAAAATAACTTAAAAGCTACACAGACTACTTTATTATCATCAAATATACATTTACCACTTTGAAAATGGTGTGCAAGAACACCATTCTTAATTGAACTTGAAACCACTTCTGCAGTCTACCTGAGACTTGCATATCAATCCATACCACATTTAAAACTGATTTGTACACAATGCAGATTTTCACAAATGATTATTGTAAAAATAGTGATGTTTACTGCACTATAACTGAGTTAATTCATCAAACAAATCCTCTATAGGCTCTTGCACTTATAAATTTTAGTCACTTTTCGTCATCTAGGATTAATGCGGCAATTTTGCTCACAAATAATTATCATCCTGCAGAAAAGCATTGCTTAATATATCAATCTGTCTATAGGGAGCATTTTAAATGAAGTTTTAGAATGCTACATAAACAGTCATTAAATTTCAGGGGAAGAGAAGTGGAATATCCATTGCTATCTCACACGTAAGCAATAAATAAAAATGAGGAGACTTCTTTTAAACATAAATAGCACACCATCCTCTAATTACTGGACAAAAGCAATTGGAAGGACAAACAATTTCTTGAACCAACATTTTACAAAGCTGTATGTAGCATAGTAATATTACAGGGATTGATTTTTTAAATGGTATCAGTTACTGTATTGAAGGTTGTAATTGGAACTAAGCAGAATGCAAGGGGTAGAGCTCAAGACAATTTGTACAGTTGTAAAACATGGTGTGCTTTTCAAGTTTCAAGTAGTTTCCTGTACTTCATAAAAAAAAGAGAGAATTTAATGAAGGTGCTCATTACAGATACCACTTGCTTCTAAAAATTGTAATGATAAAATGGCTATCTTATGATAAATTAAGCAATAATATCTGATCAATATAGTTCCTGACATGAATAAACCTCACCATACATTTCGAAACCTGTTGGAATGTCATAATAGATTTGAAGCCCACACATACAATGCGCCTTGGTGGTAATACTGAGAGATTTATGAGTTGAACAGCTTAAATAGATATTAAAATTTAGTTTAGTTAACATGAAGTAATCAGATAGTTCATGATTCATGAATAAGAAATCAGCAAGCAATTATTTGACTTTAAGCAAGAAAATACATTTAGAATAACAAGAAAGAACACATGCAACATCAAAACCAGAAACATACTCAAAGTCCATTACCTCAAAAATCAAAGCAAACTTTTCAATTTTTAAAAAATGATAAAGCCTTGATGGCACATACAAAGAGAGCTTTCTACTAAGATATTAAATTCTTGCAGGTGCTCCAGTTACAAAAATTCATTCATGGCCATTAATGTTCCTTTGCTATTGACAGGAAGCGGTATTGATATTTAACAGTTCATAGATGATTTTTTTTTTTGTAAAAATGAAAATTGACATCATAAAACCAATAAGGTAAATCCATGGGTAACAGTAGATAGACAATCAAGAGCACCGTACTACAACAGTAATTCAAACTATATACAATAATGTAACAATAACTCAGAAAAGGCATCGGACAAGGAATACATACATCATACACTTAAAATATGATCAGTAACAACAAGTTCTGTATTGTCTAACACCCCAGACAGCATGAGAGCAGAATCTGGTAAGAGTATTAAGTTGGTCGCTTCAGAGTCGACCTTCATCAACCCAGTCCTCTTGAGGGACACAATAAAGCTATCATTCTCATAGAATGTAAGTAAATCACCGAGTTCAATTTATTCAAACCCACTCATGAACACATCTGCTGAGAGCTATGGATTCAAAACATTCCTTTTAACCTCAAAACATATGGATTATAACTGATTTTAAACATTCAAAAAATAACAGAGAAGAAAATACTTTTAAATTTCTTTAAAATTCAAAGGCTAAATTTTTTTTTTAAATATATGATAACTTGATAGCATAGGGGTGTGGCACAAAGAACCACTTTTCAGATTATTGCATACAAAAATAAGACTGAAAGCATGTCACATTACCATTGTGCCTTCAATAGTTCCAAAAGGTTTCCCGGCGATTTCCATTTTACATTCATACCTTTTCCCTCCTTTGCATCTAGACACATGATTTACAGGATATTAGAGTACTATCAGTTGTAATTGCACTTCTCTTTACAGTGCTATTTTATTAATGTATGGCTCTTTGAAGAAAGGATAAGCTCATTTTCAATAATATGCTAAAGACAGTTTCCTTACTTTCATGGAATCGATCAGAGGAATTGAGTTTGTGAAAACAACATGTAAATAAGCATACAATCTGCAGGTGGCCTTATCCTCAGCAAACTTTATAGCATACAAGTAAAAAATCAGTACCCGTGTGTTTTCAAAATTTGACTACAATTGTGAGTGAAAACTTAAAAGAAGCATATTCCAAGTCCACCAAGCTCAATTTACTATGAAATCACAGAATTAAGTACAACAAAGTATCAGTTAAATAGCCTTTGCATTAAAAGCTCATTTCTAAGACCATCTAAAAAGTGGCCAGATTCTACTTCCATACATAAACCAAAAACAAAGAGCAGCATATTAATTTCAACCAGTATGTTATTCATCTCATTTAAGTAAAAAATATTTGAGAGTATGAATGGTGAATGAAAGATTTTAGCAGCTTTCTGATGACTACTGACTGATGCTGGATAGGCATGAGGTCTTTCATGTGTTGGTAGTGGTTGGCACAATCTAATAAGAATTGCGTTTCAGAGAGCAGAGCATAATATTGAAATGAGAATGACAAACTATAGCTGATAAAGTTAACATTTTTCAAGTTCTTAGGCCATTTATTCCACTTCAAAATTGGAATAAATTAACTACAACACATTGTGCTTAATGTTGTAGTCATTAATATTGTAATCATTATTGTCGTTTCCTAATTAGCACTGCCCTCGACTAGCCATACCAACTAGCGTCAGTGTTTTACTTAAAAATAAGGTCTCTCATTTTTTCCATGACTGGTGATATCTGTGCTGCAAAATAATCTCACTGCAATTTTATAGAAGTCAAAATAGAGTTGGGTTGATATTGTTGAATAGAAGCCTTCTTCAAAACATGAGCAAAGTTGCTGCAATTAATTGAACAAACACTATTTTTTATTAACAGGAACATGGTGGCAAAAGCAGAAGAGATAATATCACTTAAATACAGAATCCTAAGTATCCTCAACTGACATACAAAAATATAAAACCTAGCTTTGAACATAAATCTGCATACCAGCTTTACAGAGGAAATGGATTTTGTTAGCAGAAACACAAACAGCAAACAAACAAAACATATAGCACTATCAACCCAGCTTTATTATGTGGAATGGCAGTGTACTTTGGTTTTACTTTTCAACTAAACCTTAGATTTAAAATGTGTTTACAACTTTTTGCTTCTAAGTACTCTAATGACCATATCATCTGAGACACCTTCTTCTGATGGCAAAGTGACACCGCTTGGCCTTGGACTTGAAAACACAAGCTAACTTATACAGTAAAATTCACTGCAGCCCATCTTCACGCAAAAAATATACTACCGAGCTTCCAGTGGCCAACAAATATCAGTCAGTATAAAATTAATACAGTGATGACATTCCACAAGTTATGACTTATTTACAAGCCAACACATCTCAAAATGTTATGGTAATCACAATCATGTGACATCACTTTTTAATACTTACAGATAATAATAGTACATGTAAATGACTTTACTGAACAATAAATTAGGATAATGCCTTCAACACAACAGATCCTTTGGGTTACTGAAAGTTATTCAAAATAGACATGATCAGACTAAGTTACAAAGAAACCTATAGGTGTCCAGCAAATTACAAGTAGATGTTTCACACAGGAAATCTGCTGATTGTGAATACCCTATTTGAAGGGAACCTAGAGTTCCATGACAACAACATTGGCATGATGACAGGGCCTAGGAATGACATATTCAGGCAAAGACATTCATTGTCTCTTGAAGCTACAGTAAAAACCCAAAGGCCAATCTGTTGGTTTCAGAAATTCAACAAAATAATACAACCTAATAACTCCAGTCACAGTCCTTCATAAAGACTGAACCTAAAGACATAGTTTTTTGATAACTAATAGATAATTCTGTTCAAGAGGTCTCATAGTTGAAAAATTTCAAATAGAATTTAAAACTAAACTTCCACACATGATATACACAATGATCAATTTATACATACATTTGTCTCTCATAATCACATGAAAAAAAATTTGCAACGCAAATATCATTAAACTGAACAACAAATAAAAATATAACTTTTAAGAGGCATTAAAAGTTGATACAAAACCTCATCAACAATTGTTCTATGTCCTGTAGAGCAAACTGAAATACTACGTAGTTCCAAACAAACTTGACTCTTCTACATTTTCATTTACATTTCACATCCAATAAATACTGACTTAAATGTTAGGGATATTCATGAGTGTGCATGTGTACACAGACAAGTAAGCGCATACAAGTTAACATGTTATATACATAAAATGTATCTGAATATACATTTAAACATTATATGTGTACATGTGAAATATACACAAATATAATATAGGTTTGTAATACAGATATTTTAAGATCATAGATGGTTTGATTTTCTTTTTTGTAAGATTGATCAAAACTGGCAAAATGAGAAAGTATTTTTTTTTAAACCAAGTGTTAGATAGATAAAACCTTTAAAAACATGATTTGAAGAATAAAATATGGCATCCTTGCGCATGATAACATAGATAATATAAATCAAGTTAAAATCTGTGGCATTAAATGTATATGGAGGTATCTCAGCATTTCATAAAACGGCTAAATTTGATTTAAAAACTGACACGCACACACACATAGCTCATAAGGGAGTGACTGAAGACAGAATCATGGAATGTTTGACTTTGTTAATCCATTTATGGTAGAGGAACAACCACCTGGACGTAAGACTGAGGGAAAAATCCAGTCCGACCATTCACACTTCCTTCATACCAGTTTTCGTCAATCTTGTTGACCAGCTGAATTGTGTCTCCTTCCTGAAATAATTAGATTAGAACGTTAAATGATGGTTATATTCATTATTACATGAAAAAAAGAACACAAAAATACACACCTTAAACCCAAGTTCACCAGGATTTTCAGGTTCAAAGTCATAAAGGGCTGTGCAGCACGGGCCTTTGCTTTGAGGTGTTCGAGCAGGAGAATTTTTCATTGGAGATGGTAGTGGAGATGCTGGAAAGAAATCACAAATGTCATAACATGACCACACAAAGTAACCAACAATGTCAGGCACTTTTTAACATCTTCATAATAGAATTTGCATTCTAATGACTAATGACATTGAAATATGGACATGATCTTGTTAGGACATATGTAGCTCCAAGAAAGCAAAAGGTAAGCCAACACCATAGATATAACATTTAACACTCTGAAAACCATGCCAAAGGAGGAGTTGGAAGGCACACGAAGAAAGCAAAGTTCATACAGGAACAGAACAATCAAAACAGTCAAGAGCTGCTCTCAGTTAAAACTTACTATATTTATTTCAAATATTGCTTTGAAGTGAAATTGCAAAAAATACAAGTTCAAAACCTCTGCATCAAAGTTAAGATAGAATTATTCAGAATTTTTCAAATAGAGTACATTAACTCTGAAACTGTGCAGTACATAATTTAAAAAAAAAACAACAACAAAACAAAGTGAAATAAAGTAACCAATGACGAATTACCATTAGTAGAACGAGACTGGTTTGCTGATGGGAACAGCTCCAGTTGGTTTGGTTTGTTGACGTGCACAGGAGTCGAGGCTTGAGAAGACCCTACACATAGCCACCACCATGCAACCCAAATAAATATTTAGCAAACATAACATGCATTCAGTTTGAGTTCCTTCATAAAACCACAATTACCACAGGAGCACAGTAAGATTATTACAAAGAAGCCAGAAACCTCAAAGTTAAAAACCCACTGCTTTTTAATTATTTTTTATTTTTTAATAATAAAACATTAACAATAAATTTTGGAATCGAACTGAGAGCTAATGTTCAATGTTTGGAAATTTAAAAAAGGGGAATTACACCCAATATATAGAATTGTTCTGAATTTTTGGTTTGTCCAATCAGAAAGAGAAACAATAGATAGATAGATGAAAATCCACACACAGAAGATAGAAACTAGGAAATGGCTACATTTAAGATAATGAAAAAAGATTGCAAGTAAGCAGAAGTACAAAAAGACAGGTAAATAGATATATATTTTGAGACGGGCAGAAAAGATTGCTCAAAGTAGCAATCATATTTAGATTGATGCCACGTCTTCATGAAATACAAATCCATGGGCCCTTTTGAAAAACTTTTGATGGATGAAATAAAAGGTAAACTGCAGGAAACATAAGAATGCCAACCAGCACATAAAGGTTGAGCTCCAACTATAACCTCTCTACTTCCCAAAACCAACCTTTCCTTCATGGGATACCTTGACATACGTGTCAGCACATCATGAGGTAGAAGAAGATAACAGAAAATTACAAGATTCTAGAAAGTGTCACAAAGAAGAAAAATACTCGTCACTCAGCAGCAAAAATCTTGTAAAGCTAATCCAGTTCTACTTTAAAACTAACTTGATGTCTTTCAAAAGTCTTAAGGAAGCCAAATTTTTGTGATAGTTATCAGGCAGAAATAACATGGCATTCATGAATCATTTAAGAATCATGAATATGTTGATAGAAACAGATGCAAATGAGCTTATTGCAGCTTTACCAGACAGAAATCTCTTTCGTAGAATAAAAAAGCAAAGTAACACGCACAAAGCAAGCCTATAAAGATACATTTCCTGTCCATCGTGATTCAATACTGTTTTCACAAAGGCAAGAGCGGAACCACATGCAAATAGCAACATAGATGAGAAGCAGCGTGTCAATGAAGCTAGTGCAGCATCATTACATAAGCTGAAATAAAGGTGAAAAATTAGTTCAATAGTACAGTTACATGTTGCATGCAGCAGGTGTCTAAATACTTTTGAAGGTGCAATAAAATACTGATAACTATTCATAGCAATTTACAATCAGTGTATCATCACTGAAACAGAAATATGTATGTAGAAAAGACAGACAATTTTTTTTTCATACACACAAACAAAAAAAGGAAAGAGCCTCTAAAACGGATCAAACTAGGTAGGTATACCATGCTCAATCATCTTTATTTAACTTTTCTAAACCAAAAACAACCTACATCTACAAAGGATGAATGAGAATACCCTTACTCGATGTGCCACACAAGTCTGTCCTATCACCATAATGGAAGGTAGCACCACACATTAAAAAAATCAAAAGTTCGTAATTGAATGAATTTTTAGTACAATAAACTGTGTAAATACTGGAAGAAAAAACAACAGTCTTGATATGAAATCTGTTGTGTTTGAGATTTTTTAAATAAAAAGGTAAACTGTAGTAATTAACGCCTGAAGCTTTTCGAAATGTTGTGTATTTTTATGCACCATCACCATCACCACAATCCCCAAGGAATTTGATTTTCTAAATACCTTTTGGTCTAGTGGGTGGAGCTGCAGACCAGGGATCATAAGGTTTATGTGATTGAAGGGAAGGGGCATTGGGATAAACTGAAGGATAGGTACTTTGATTTTGGTTGTTGAAAGAATATGAGTTGGAGCCACCACTGTGCTGAGTTGGTGAATAACTGTTGGAGTTAGAATTCAAACCATTTATGCCGTCCAAAATGCCGTGTTCGATATTAAGATCTGCCAATGTCTTCGGTATAAATTCTCCCTTCGGTCTGTTAGCTGCTTCCTCTTTCCTGAAATAAAAAAATTCCAGGATGTTATTATAAATGAAACATTTCTTAACTTAAAGTGTAAGAGAATTAACACATTCACTATCCTAGTTTCTGAAAGAAGAGGGAATTACAAATCCTATGTGACCTGTGACCACACTGACACAGGTACTGAAAATGTTTAAAATTTACTTACTTTTCATGCATTGTTTCAACAAGTGTCTTCAGAATTTCTACACATTGTTGGTGGTGTTCAAGAAGGCCTTCAGAAAATGTTGCCAACTGGGAGATTTGTTCAACCTGAATACAAAAATAGCATTGTCTTTGATCAAAACCAACCATATAGTATGTGAATTATCCAACATAAATTATAATAAGCAAAATACTTGAGGCGCATTGGGACAAAACAACACATCAAATCAAAACTCACATCATTTTCGAGTAGGTTGAACATTCCCATCTGAGCAAGGTGAAGAGACTCAGCAAACTTTTCCTCTGCCTGACGAATCTCCTCATCTGAAATATGAGATCCTTCATTCCCATGCGGCCAATGCACAGCAGGCACACATAATGGGACACAGGAATAAGGAATGGTAAGAAGAAAAAAAAATTAAAAAATAGCAAAAAAATACTGAAAGAGGCAAAAAAATATTTAAAAATGGAGCAAAAAAAAAATGAAATAAATAGATCTGTTTAAAGAAAATAAGAAAAGCAAACAGTACAAAAATAAGCACTAGTATAAAGTTCACAAGCAGCTTAATCATAGCCATGCTCATCTTTTGCATTTTTTAGTAGAAAAGTAAATTACCAGAAACTGCATCAAATCACATAATAAAGCAAAACCAGAAATCATGTGAACCCTGAATGTGATTGTAGTCCCAAGAAGCATAATTAAAATAATACAGTTATATCCAAGACTTGAATGTGTCAGTGATTAGTAGCACTATACACATAACCACACCCGGTTAAGAACAGGAATTCATTACAGTAGCTCACATACCAGCCGCAGTCATGGCAGAGCCCAGACGAACTGGACTTCCATATGGGGAACGATTGCCTGGTGCTACTCCATGCAGCAAGACACACATGCAAGTTTCAAAGTTTAGCGAGAGAAAAAAACGAGAGTAATTTGCGCTTGATTAAACGAACACAGAAAGAAATGAAGAAAGCATTCTAAATATAGAGGCAAAAAGAGGCATACCTAGTTCTGACTGTCTACAAACGCAACTTAGGTAAAATGAAACTGTATGTAGGAATAGGGGAAAATCTTAGGAGGGGGAAAAACCAGTGTTAATTAGGACTTAGGTGGTTTCAATTTTAAAATGACTGCCTCCAAAGACATGCTGATAAGGCATCCTGATGACCCATGCATGCGAAAGGACATTGATATTATTGCTTGTCAAACATAACATGTAATTTGGAATATTTTGGAACACCCAAAAGCTCTTCCATGTTAGAACAAAATGCAGTCTGCAAATTAATAGTGGTGGAAGTATTAAACTACCTTTGGCTTGTCGTCGTCTTTTGCAGTCAAAGTCAAGGCGTCGGCCCTGGAGTTTTTTGCGATGATGCTATGGAATGTGAAGTAAATACAAATCAGTTCTACCCTTGTAATTTTGATTTAAAGCGGTATTACAGATATGAAATAAGCACTCCTTACCATGACCTCTTTCAGATCCTTTGTTTGAAGATGATGTAAGGGTTCAAGGAAGTTTTGTTTAATATTATCATCCAAAGAATACTTGTTATCTGCCATCTGACGAAGTGCTTCACCCATTTCAACTAGTGCTTGTGCTAAAATAGTTGTTGATAAAAATACAACAATTAGAAAAGATCAAGGAAGGACAAATACAAATTGAAATCAAGTGAACTCTTTTTTTCAACTTACCAAAAACGCTGTCTTCTCCAAGCTTTTTACCATAGGTCACCATACAATCACCAAGAACACCCTCTGGTTGTGGGTAAGTTGATGCCTTAGCTTGACCAGACAGCTTGGAAATACCCTTGACTGCTGCCATTTTGGCACGTGCTGTAGGATTAGGCTGGAGAAATTCTCTGGTCTTCAATTGCAATTCTTCTACCAGTTCAACAGTAACATCAGTTTTCTGGAGGAAAATAAGGAAGAGATAGTGAATGGATCTGATCAAGTTTGGCAAAAGCTTTGCAAAAAAAAAAAAAAAGTAGAGGTATTCCGGGACTTACTCTTTCCATATCAACAAAATCTACATCTAGTTTTGTTCCTTCTGCACCACCCATTTTTTCTGTCATGTACTGAAAAAAAAGAAAAAATATCCAATTTATTAAAGTACATGATGATGATAAAGGGAAAAGTGGGAGATAAGCGGGAGCATGTTCAAATTAGAAGTTTTACTGATCCATTACCTATAAACCCGCATTTATATACATATTCTGTTGCAAATTTGCTTCTGAAAAATGTGAGTTAAAATCAGTCCAGCCCTTGTTCCAGCCGAGAGTCATCCTTTCCTATTCCCTGTCGTCTCCCCCTCCTGTTTCTGTAAAGCACATGATGTAACCCGGCCTAAGTTTGACAGCGTAGTTTACAGAGTCTGCGCACGGGTTGACAACGGTCCCATGTTCTGGCAGGATGCCCACTATCGAACCTTTCCTGGATCCTCTTTCAAAACCATGCCCTTCCCCAAACAATTTTATTGCTATTGTACCAGTGCAGCTCAATAGTTGCCTTACGGATCAGCGATGGCGAATATCCCCCCTCCCCCCCCTTCTCCTCCTCAGCACCCGGAGTAAAACCGGGAGGGGGCCGAGCAGCCCTGCTAGCCCCCGCAGCCCAGCCAGCGTGGCCTTGGCGGTATTGATCTCCCCCTGCCCCCTCGCCTCCCGCGCCCCGCGCCTCTGCCCCTGACCCACCCCTCTCGGCACGCCGCTCTGGCACAAAGCTCTGCCACGAGATCCTGTCGCGGGGGCGGCGCGGAGGCAGCGTGGAGCGTGGGGGTGCCAGGCTGGCGGCAGCGCGCGGCAGCGGCTCCAGATGATGACTCATCTCGCGGAGGGGGGCAGACCCCGTCGTCCCCGTCGTGCACCCTTGCCTGGCCCAGCCCCCCCATAAACGCGAGTCTCCAAAGCGGCCTGCTACACGTTTTAGGCAATCCTCTCAGGCGACGTCCCTAATGGTCCCTTCATTTGGGCGCCAACTCTTGTACTGGTGAGCCCCACCCCCTACCCCCCACACGAATCTCTTCCACCCGTGCGTTTATGCGATGCGCGAGGCGTGAGGGTTGGGCAGACCGGGCAGGCCGGGCCGGGCGGGCTCTCTGGGCTGGAAAGGGTCGGGCCAGAGCGGGACAAGTGCCGAGGGCCGCCAGCTAAAAGCGTCCAGTGCCCACCCGGCGCTCGTGGCTTCACTTTTTACCTCTCTTCTTGTTCTCGTCCCTTACCGGGAGCGTGGGGAACGCCTTCAAACAAGGTTCCCAACATCCCATCACCGCCTCGCCCCACGCCTGGCCCAACCCTCCCTACCCGCACGTAAAAGGGGCCCATCGTGGCGACTACGGCCGGACAAACGGGCATGGAGACCGCACGCGGCTTGTCTGTGGTGGCCAGCACGGGGGC